TTTTGTTAGCTAAAAGTCAACGTTGCAACCAACTTCAGAAAAGGATCTGAAATCCTTGAGGTTCTGCTCTAGAATAAAAATATCCAGCTAATTAAAATGGCTGGAAGACGTTTGTATGTCAAGTTTAATTCTAATTCTTTTACTGTTTAGTACAGCAAATCTATCCGAACTTCTTAGGTCTTAGAAACTGGTGGATTTCCGTTTTACAAAAGCAACCAAATTCTTGTGGTCCATTTTCTCTCTCCTATATATATTTTTTATTTATTTTCTGTGTTGCTGATGGCTGTGCAAAAGCAAAGTGAGAGGCTGGTTGTTTGGGACACCTGATACTTTCCTTGACCAGATTAGACAATTGGGAGAAGTAAAGGAATAAGCAACATTCTACATATTGCTTTACTTCTCCCAATTGATCTCTTCTTCCTTTTTTATTTTCACCTGGTAATAAGGCCAATAACACACTTCCTGTCTTAGGGCGGCTCCACTCTATGGAGGAGCAATGGAGTCACCACTGGAAATTAGCATTGTCACCACGTGGAGTGGTAAGCTGGCCATACTCCTATAGATGTTCGATCGGATATTTACTTTGCTGCCAAGAACCCACGTTCAGTTTTTAGCTCCAACAACCCATCATGCACAGACCAATGTTGATTTCGATAATCGTTCGTTAGCAATACCAACTCACCGAATTTTGCCAGTTGACAGAACAGATTTTAGTCTGCGCATTTGCAGTGTTCATTTTGCAATGTATTTCTTTTTATGAAAACGCCATTAATTCATCCATTTTGCGTTCGATTCGAAAAAAGGTTTTCCCGCCTGCCCGATCGAGGAGTCCATTGACCTGCATTAGATGTGAGGTCGCCGAGGGAGTGGATGGGGAGAGAGGTGCTGACCAGGACCGAGGATCAGGTGAGTAAGCCCCCGTTCACATTAAGCGGATTACCGCTCGAAAATCGCGCATATTGCCACGCGATATCGCGAGATCTCACTCGTCCAATGATTTTAAATGGAGCTGTTTCAATTCTATAGCTCAATGTAGCCTGTAGCTCGTCGCTGTCGCTTGTGCAGGATTCTTTTTTGCGCGGATGTTGCGTGATTTTGCTTGTTTTTTCATGCAGCCCAATAAGAAAGGTTATCTTTATCTGCAGTTCTTTAAGCAGCAACCACAAATAGGTTTCCAGTGCTTGTCTGAAAGGATGGAAGTACCATCTGTTTATGTCTAAAATGAATGTAGGTTCTATTTGTTTCCTTTAATGAAGTAAACTGAGCTACTCCAACAGGCACAAGTTGTTGTATACAAATACTTTTTTCAAAGTAGTTAATTTTTGCTACTTTTGAGATTATTTATTTTTGCTGCAGTGTTTGCTTTAATGTACTTTGGATGTGTTCATAAAAATATCTTGGAGTTTCCCCAGATCGCTTGTTGATTTCTAAGATCGTTCCATGAGCATTTTACTTTGGTATAATAAGGCAGCTACCAAGTAAGTAGGCATTGCCCACAGGGTATTTGTTTTGGAAGGCAGGGGAAGCTTTTCCTTTTTAGTAATCGTAATCTGTATCCTTGCTTGCCAAATGTGCCTGTTTCTGAATAAACAGAGGTTGGAATGCAAATACAAGCAAGCCTGTTTGGTATCTACGCCACAACAAGGGTAGACTGACCTGACCTATTTTATAACACCTAGAATGTCATAAATCACCACACCACCAAAGATAACAATGGGATGTGAATCATGATTATTAATAATATACACACTACTTTATCCTGGTTCCTCCAAAGAGAAGGTTGAAGGGATACTGCATTTCACACATTATTATTTTCTTTATATTTAAAGGCTACGTTTACTTTTCTGACCATGTGTCGTGTTACGCCAATATTCAGAGTGTAAAGGTCCCCACACACCTTAAGATAATCGTACGATAATCGTGGGAAATCCCGCGATCGTACGATTATCGTAAGGTGTGTGGAAGCCGTGAGACCTCTACTACTGTAAGGCCGCACGACTTTAAACTTACAAACATGTTTGAAAACCCGCCGAGCATCGTACAATGTTCGGCGGGTGTGTAGCATGTTCGGAAGATAAAAGCCGGACGGGCAGGTGTGCGCAAGCGCACACTGCCCGTTCGGCATTGCGGTCATCAAAGGCCCGCCCCTCAGGGGGCGTGGCTTGTGATCATCGCAAGTACGATCTGCCTATGCAAGATAGGCAGATCGTACGTTTTTTAAAGTACCTTACAACCATCGCAAGACAAAAGTCTTGCGATGGTTGTAAGGTGTGTGCCCAGCCTTACCTGAATTGGGGGTATGTTCTTCCACAAGCTGGTTTGGATTTTGTTAATTTGGTGCAGCTATGCATCGCTCCACCCACACAGCTGTCATTCATTCACAGATCCTTTGACAGGGTCTTGTTAAGGGAAAAACTACAAGTTCCATCAGCCACTGCAGCAGAGGGACTTGTAGTTTGTGCAGTGATGTGTGAGATATATATATATACATATAAATTTTATTTTTCCTGTAGTGTCCTTTAAAAATAGATTGTAGCACGTTTCAAGTGGTACCAAGCGTATACGCGCACGCGCAATCGGCGTGTTTATGCATGGCGTGTTTGTGAGGTTAGTAAATCAACCCCACTGAGTTAGAAAAATGTGACAAAATCGTAGGATCTACAAAAGAAGTCTTACTTGTTAGTCAGTCTTACTGTCTGCTCCTCCATTGCTCAAGAGCTACAGCTACCTGGAGAACCTTCACATTTAACACTTCAGAAATATTGGATGCCGCTTTCTAGTTTAGCCCACTGGTACCTACATCGCTATTAGGGGTTTAGCTCAGGTTCAGATCCTGTTCAGTCCAAATCTGAGTTGGTGTCAGCCCTACCTGCTTTATTTCTGATGGATTACAAACACAGACCTCTCCTTATGCCTGTACCCCCCTCCCCCCCCATCTTCTCTCCATAACCCCATGTACAGGCAGAGCGCTTAGAAAGCTATGAGCTCACAAGGTCTCCCGGTATACAAAAAAAAAATGGTATCTTTAGTAAAACAATTAAGTAAAATAATGGAATGCTGAACCTCTGTCGGCTTCCCTAGTGCGGATTTTCCTTCACTTTCAGTCTGGTAAAACATTGTCCCCAGAACAAGAAGTGAGGGGAAATCTCTAACGGTTCCCCGGATAGCAGTCAGTCTGACATACTGCACATTTTAAAGCCTCATTGTGTGCGCCCTGTAATGTGTTGCTTGATGCGTTGGCACGTGTTGCTGCATTTTTCCTATCCACATCTAATGGGTCCCTAAAGTATGTCCACACACCAAAAATAATGCATGCCAGTGTGCATTATAATGCATAGGTATGAATGGAACCTTAGAATTCATGAAGGGGACTTTGCAATGTGATCACATTGAAGGAAAGATCTGTGTGCAACTAATATCCCGTTTCAAATACATATGAAGTCTGGGAGGGGAGTGACCGCATATCGGCAGATAATAATTAGATCATGGATAATCATTTTTATCAGCCCTCTGTGTTGGGTCAAGGGTTTGTTTGCAACACAACTAAATCAATGTGGTGTTAATGAGTTAATGCTCAACAAAAAGTTGAAAAGGAAATTGATTAAAAAGGAAAGACATTTAGTTTTACTTACTACTACTTTATTACTAATATCCTTAGTTGACATGTGATCACCCTCTAGAACCTTATAAGCTATACTTGTCTATATTGGTTCTGTAGCTCTCTGGCAACAGTGTCAGCTTATCCAATATTGGCCGCCTATATCCATTGAGGTATCCTATATACAGAAAGATGAGGGACTGGCCCGGAGGAATCTTGGATTAACCTGTATTGCAAAATGTGGGGTCCAAATTGAAATTGTGTGAGATCTGAATTGCTCTTAAACCCTGATGTAACCATAACCTAATCTGGTAGCCAAAGCTGCATGCAGTAACATATCCAGGGTATGGCATATGCCCTGGTTACCACTTGAAGGGGGGGGGCACTCCGTGGTTCAGCGAACTTCGCCAACCAACGGAGACAGCTGACTTTTGTCTCTCCCCACCGCCGGCCAGAACGTCCCAGGTTACTAAGAGCTGGGTGGGGAGATGTGTAAGAGCCACATCTCCCCACTTAGCTCTTGGCAACCTGGGAAACTCTGGTCGACATCCCACCCAGGTCCTGGCAACCAGTGACATCACTGGTTGCCAGGAGCTGGGCAGAGATGTCAAGGGCGCAATTTGTTGTATTTACACCTCTGACTGCATGTTGCCTATCTGTTCCAGAACCCCAGCATGGTTGTGGTGTTTGACCACAGGGGTTCTGTCAAAGGGTTCCCTTAAGACCTGGACAATAAGTGGCGCTGCCTGAACGCTGAAACAACTTGGCCCAGGCTGTGTATGCCAGCTGATAGCTTTCCTTGTAAATTAGGTTATTGGAAAGCACTGGAGGTTTAGTATCACTTTGAATTACATAGTTCTGGCTGTAGAGGGAATCGCAACATCACATATCCCATGACCAGGGTCTTCACTGCAATTGGGCTGCCCATAAAAATCCCAATCTGCGAATCGGCAGCATGGATTGGGTCGAGCCAGTTCTTTACAGAGAAACTCAATTTTTTTTTCTTCTTTTAATTAGTGATTTTCCAAAGATGTCAGGGATTGTACAACACTACACTATCTTTTTATTTAATGCAATGTCTGTTTTTAAGAAGAACGTAGCCCAGACAAAGCTTGTTTCTGTACTGGAAAGCACATGGTATCACGAGTATCTGGTGTTACAGCTTGATGCATTGTCAACAGAAAGAACTGCTTTGGTGGCCGAGGATGAGGGAAATACTAAGGTCACTCTGCAGACGTTTTAACTCTGTGCTGGATCCGGGTTCTGTGAGGCACTACATTATGTAAAACCATCTAATAAAGATGAGCAGGGGACTATCCAGTTCCCTGGGTGTAGACTAAGTGTAACCTCATTGGATATATAGATTACCTCATGCAACTTTCTTTTCTTTTTTTTTTTACAGCAAGGGGCCCTGGTAGCAGAAGACTGTGACTTGCTAGACCAGCATTGAAGCAATAATATTGCGACTTGCAGCAATGCCATTGGCAGAAGAAAACTGTCTCTCTAGTGATCCTCCACTAACTTTGCCTGTGGTTGTTATTGGTAAGATTATCTCCTTCATCCAAGTAAATAAGTGTGTATGTGTGAGACACATTGGATAAGAGTTTCCTGGAAGCAGGGAGGCATCTATATCATGGTGCGAGAAAATGCTTAGTAAAATGGGGTTCTTCTGAAAAATCTAAAATCTCATTGGATCTGTCTCTTTGAAAAGTTGTATCAAACCAGTGGCGTAACAATCACCATAGCGACCCAGGCGGCCGCTATGGGGCCCTGGGCACAGGGGGGACCGGCCAGATGCCGTGCGGGACGCCTGGGTCGCTATGGCATCCTCTGCTGGTGGCTTTCACTGGCGGCTCTGAAGAAGAATGCACTGCTGTTCAGGTCACTGACACTAATCTGTGCAGCAGTGCGTTCCTCCCCACAGAGTTAATAAGCGCCAGCAGCGGTGGTGGAGCAGGCTGGACCCGGCAGTAGAGGAGGAGGCGGGGGCCGTGGTCGCCAGCAGGGGAGGGGGCGGGGCCCAGCGTCTGAGGAGGAGGCGGGGCCTATCAGCGACGGTGGAGGAAGAGGAGGCGAACAGGTAAGGAGTGCGACCAGCCCACCTGAGGGTGACCCTGCAGAGCCCACCATAGAGTCTTTGGTGGGCTATGCAGGGTTACCCTCAGGTGGGCTGTGTGGGATCTCAAGTGGGCTCTGCAAGGGGTATAACTAGAAATCACGGGCCCCATGCCAAATTTTGCTATGGGGCCCTGTGACTTCTAGTTATGCCCCTGTATCAAACATTGCTTTTTTTTTGTCTGAAAGTTTCCCCCACAGTGTCCTCATTCCTATCACATATCTATATTGGTCTGCTCTGCTACGTACTCTGGGCTTAGCCTGTCAACTCTTCAGTTGAGGGTTCTAGGAAAGACAAAGAAAGATGAAAGAAGAGTATCAAGAGCAGAGTTGTGCAGGCGGGATGCCTTAAAGCAGCTGGTGGCCAGGTTTTAGTTAATAACCTGGTCAATAAATACGACAGAGTGCCGCTAACTTGAATCTAAATGCCTGTGTACGTGAGTGTGGATTAATCTCCCTTGGTTCCCCTAGTACTATTGAGCAGTGGAGAATGATTCTACCCATGATATATGTAGTTTATAGCTTTTCAACTTATTTACATTTGTAATAGAGCTGCAGCTAACGATTATTTTCAAAAATCGATTAGTTAGCCGATATTCGTCTTCATTTTGCTTTTGTCCTTCTGGTCCCCCTTCCTACTGTTTCAAGTATATTGTGATGATTTCTGATGGGACATCTCTGGACCCTGTATTTGAATCTCCTAGTGCTTTCACTAAGAGAAGTTCTGCAACTTTTTGTAAAGTATATCATCATGGTGTAAGGATGTTCTAACTAGATTACCCATGCCTGAAATATGTGACCTCATACATCTGACAACTGATACTTGGAATCTCAAATACATGGGCCTCTGCATACATATCTACCTGGTATAAAGAAAGCACTCTCAACAAGTCTCCTATGGAAATAAAGATCAAACTTGTCATCTTCATAAATTTAGAAATTCTCTATGGTTTGAAGCAAGGGCTTAAGTATAGACATCGCAAACCATGCAACTGCTAAGGGACCTGGATGCACAGGGATCTCAACATTGTCTAGCTACTCGATGATTTAGAAAGGTAGCACTAGCATTTTGTAAATACATTTGGATGGAAGGAGGGTATATATAGTTTGGGGACAATTGCTGTGAAACAACTGTGTATTCTGTATCACTAGAATTGCTTTAAAGATGGACAATAGAGAGGCAAGGGTGCCCCTTGACAGTTTTGCTATGGGGCCCCTAGTGGGCCCTGGTTAGAAACATATGCATGATAACATGTTGGAGACTTTACAGGCTTTGTTATCCTCGGTTGTGCTGCAAATGAAGTTATTGAACAGTTCCATTGGGGTGTGTGGTGGGTCTGGCTAGCGGCAGGGGCGCAGTGTGATTGTGCCAATTGCCAAATCTTTAGGGGCACTGCGGGCATCTAGCCCTCCTGTACCAGGCCCCATTGGGTCAGCAGAGAGCTTGCCTTGGAAGCTGCCGCTGCTCTGCAGCTCTCTCCTTCCCGCTGGCTGCATGCTGCGGTCTATGTCCCTTCCGAACCACACTGCTAACACCTTCTTGCAGAGGCAGCTGGGATCAGTGGGGACACAGCCTGTCCAACTGCCGGCACCCAGCAGGGAGGAGAGAGCAGTGACAGGAGGACTCAGGATGCCAAGCAGGGCTGTCAGAATGGAGAGCGGAGCTGTGGGGGCTGAGTGGTGCTTTAGAAGGCCAAGCGTAGGTTCAGGAAATATGTGAAATATTTTGCTGATCCTTCTGTGTATTGAGCGAACTCCGAGGTGATGGGTACTGATCACTAGGTGTTTGTAAATAACTGAACATAGTTCATTCATGACTGGGGGACATACTATCATTTACTCAGTTTCTGAATGCACAGGAGCACTCCGTACAAAGGCTTCCTGTCCATTCATAACTGGGGGGAGTACTACGTCTCTACAGTTAGTGAATGAACAGGAAGCCTCTGTACTGAGTGCACCTGTTCATTCAATGCTGGGGCTGTGGAAAAAGCCACATGTACAAATTATACTGCAGATCTAAATTAAAATGTAGAAGACTAACACTTGCCTGATTTTTCTGACCCCCTAATGTTTTTAAATAGGGTGAGTGAAATGATCTAAAATGAGAGCAATCCTGTTTTTTATATAGAGGGTTTTTTAATGTATTTTCTATTCCAGGAAATGGCCCTTCTGGAATCTGCCTGTCGTACCTGTTATCTGGATACAGGCCATATCTGTCTCCAGATGGACTGCACCCCAATCCAATCCTGCACAGCAAGCTAGAGGAAGCAAGGCACCTCTCCATCCCTGAACAGGTAGATGCAGTGCTTCTCCTTCATGGATTCTTATATTGTCATGTGACATGTACTGTACTGTGTTGGGCATGTCTGATTTTTGGTTCCTACATTTATAAAATTGCCTGTGATTAGCTTATTGCAGCAGTGAGACTCTCATTCTTCAGCTGATATCGTTCTGTGTAGGTATATGAATGAGGCCACAATAATGTGGACTTTTAAAAAAAAATTTGGACATTTTTACATGCAGGTGTTTGTTTTGGTTGCCATGGGGATAGACTCAGACATTTTGGCTGGGGTTCTCTTTAAGTTTCTCAACCCATGAGTTTGTGGGTCCCCTCATTTACCTCAAAGGTCTGTGCAAAATATACAATGCTGAGCAGAGGGGTGCACACTGATATAATCCTACAAGGGTCCAAAGAGGGATTTATTTTTTCTTGCACTGTAGTTGCCTAACTTGCTTAGGGGGAATTATTGTTTGTTTCCTTTTTTAATATATTTTCTTTGTGTGTTTATTCGTAGTTTTAGTGAGGAGATCCTCTTTAGGTGCTCCCCTGTTCCTGGTTTCACCTTGTTTCATAGGGTTCAACTCCTTAGTTTGAGGAAACCCCTTAAAGCTGAGCCCCACCCGTTTGGAGTTTAAAAACTCATTCCTATGCCCCACTTTATTGGACCCTGATGATGGGTGGATCCTGGCCCAGAATTTGGGGTCTTTGTAACAAAGGGTGATCAGAAGCATGCACAGGGAAAGAGGTTGCTTATAATTTGAAGGCCAGCATTACGGTGTGCGTGGCACAGAATGTAATATTATTTCTGGTTAAGTGATTCATCTTTTCTGAATGACCAACGTGTTATTTCTGTATTTTTTTTTTCATTTTTTTAAATACAGGATTTGGAATACTTGTCAGAAGGGCTGGAAGGCCGTTCCTCTAATCCAGTAGCAGTGCTGTTTGACACACTCCTTCATCCGAATGCTGATTTTGGGTATGATTACCCATCTGTTCTACAGTGGAAACTGGAACAAGAGCACTATATTCCTCATATAGTACTCGGCAAGGGGCCCCCAGGTGGGGCATGGCATGTGAGTCCATGTTGTTGATTTATTAGTATTATTTTTTTTTAAACTGTAGAGCCCCCATAACGCTGCACTTTCCTCACACTGGCAGTTGTTATGGAGATTGATAAATGGTGGATAGAAGGGACCACAGTTGTGCTTCAATAAAAGGTATCTAGTTTAATGAAAAATCCCAGATATTTAAGTAGCAAATGGGATTCCCTTCCTTGACTGCAGAATATCTAAATGGCTTTGTTAATCCTGGGATCGTTTAGTTATTTGTCTGTTCCCATTTCCTCTACTATAATATTTAGGCACTGATTTACAAGGAGCAGAATAGAAGCTTTTATTACATTATGAGTGTCAGGCTTTATGACCTGCTGAAGAAGAGTGGGCCAACCATTTTTGGAATGTTCCACATGTGCCGTTGGAAACATGGAGGCCCATAAGCATTTTTTTTCTATTGAAAGTAGAATTTTGTTTCTGATCAGTGCATTTGGGTTGGGTTTGTTTCCAATTTTGATGTAAATAGTGGTTAGCAGCAATCTTCTTTAACAGCAATTCACATGCTATCATTTCTTTTTGTATTTATTGCCTATGGGTGCAAACCAAAAGCCGTTCTGAACTTTTGATCTTCATAGTTATCATTCAGCAGGTTTCTGCATCTCCTTGTAATCTAGCCACTAGTCCATAAATACTATTGTACCCTTATTTTATTTTTAGCAGGTTATCCAAAACGTGAAATACTTTTTCTTTGTTCAGTGCACCATTCTGATGATCTTCATTTCCTTTCCCAGGATATGGAAGGGTCCATTTTGACTCTTAGTCTTGGTGACTGGATGGAATTACCTGGACTTAAGTTTAAAGACTGGGTCTCTGGTAAGAGGAGGTAAGTGTACAGCATTTTGTGTTGATTTCTGCTGGGAAGTAAATGAGATGTCCCCTGGAGCAATTTCCTAATTTTTGCATATACATGATGATAAAATCTGAATATTTGGCTAGAAAACAGCTTAAACCCCTCCCAAACAATTAGATATTTCTTAAAAGCAGAGGCCTTCTAGAATAAACGCATTGCATTCATGCTGCATGATATTTGCGTAAATATTTATCAAACCAATATTTTTAGGATAAAATACACTAAAATGAAAGTGACATTAAAGTCAAAGATATTTTTCCCACCCCCAATGTTAAAGAACTTTCCTTTTAAATGATGTTTCCTAATGCAATCTTTCCTGTCGTTTTTTCATCTGTCCCTCCCAGCGCTGCTGCGGATCTCCGATCCAGCGCTGACTCCTCTGTCCTTGCTGGCACTTCCTGTCCCACGGTGTCTGCATGCGGGTGCACGCCGTCCATATACTTACCTTGTGTCTCTCCTCGTCTCCTGGCCAAAAATGTGAACTGCGCATGCGCCCGCCCCAAGATGCTTTGCGGCCGTCCGGGAATTTTCAGATTTTCGGACGGGAGCGAGCAGGAAAGACACAGGTAAGTTTTTTTTTTTTTGGTTTTTTTTTTTAAGCGTTTTTATTTTATTTTTTTTTACACCATTTTGCATATACCTACTGCTTGCTAGCAGTAGATATATGCAAAAACACCGGAGGGTTTAACGACCCTTTAATTTTAGTGCACAGAAACAGAATACAATACCCAGTTTTTTTGGTAAAAGCTAAAAGGTGGGGTAAACGGATACCAAACATATATCAAGCCTTAAAATTGCATGCACCCGTGAAATGGCAAAGCTTTAACTTTTTTCATTTAACTTTATTGCTATCACATAAAGTGCTTACAAGCCCCCTATGTGATGGCAAAGAGGATGTGACAGGTCCTCTTTAAGGAGACCTCAGGGGACCACTAATGTCACCTCTAGACACGATCTGTGCTTCATCAGTTTAATTTCTGGCCACCGCACAAAGAAATGACAGACTGAAACTGCAAGTGATCTAATATACATCACTTCTGGGTTTAGTGATTTGTAGGGGAGATCAGCTGCTGGAAGTGTGCTGACCTCCTTCTGATCGAAGTGCACCGACCTGCCATGCCAGTCCCAGGCCCGCACAGGGGACAATGGAGCTAGGGGATAACTGGCGAGGGGGGGGGGGAAGGGGGAGAAACAGACTTCCCAGCTCCATATAAGCAATCGGGCGGCTCTGTAGCTGCCTAAATGCTTTTATGTGACAGCCATTGCCACCTGGAATTTTTTTTTCATACCATGATCTTGGTAGAACTGCTTCAGGACAGCGCCATTTATATACAAGGTGGTCCTGAATCTGGTAAAACAAGCCCTCACTGACCTCTGTAGCTGCAGGCACTTGGCAGTAATTCATCCTTGTTTCTAAGAGTAGTTTTGTTTTCTCGTTATCCAGAAATACCAAAAGTGACCGTGCTACCCCAGCAGAAGTGGCTGCATATTACAAACATTATGCTAAAATAATGGGCATTCAAAGAAACTTTGTAGACAACACCTACATCACATCTGTAGCAAGACCCTATCGGGAGCAGGAGCAGTCTGACAGTCATGAGTCTGAAGATGTTGCACCAGAAGAGTCTTGCATTGACAAAGAAGATGGAGAGCCCATGTTAAAGAAGAACTGGGAAGTTCATGGCTATCGCAGGGCAGCTGATGGCTCTCACCAGCCCTTTTGTCTTTTTGCAGAAACTCTCATTCTTGCCACAGGAACATTTGATGCACCTGCTCGACTAGAAGTTCTTGGAGAGGACCTCCCATTTGTTTCACATTCCATTGCAAAGTTTGAAGATGCTGTTGGCAAGGGGAGGCTGAGTGGAGCAGTAGACCCGGTTTTGATTGTTGGGGCCGGGCTGACGGCAGCAGATGCCGTCTTGTGTGCTCACAACAATAACATTCCAGTCATCCATGTTTTCCGTAGAAGAATCAATGATCCAAGTCTTATTTTTAAACAATTGCCAAAAAAATTATATCCAGAATACCACAAGGTTTATCACATGATGTGTACACAACTCGGTACTGTTGCTTCCAGCTTGTATCCCCCTTATACAAGTTTCCCAGAGCACGTTGTACTTTCTTTTAAGCCTGATATGAAGGTCGTCCTTCAAAGTAACAGTGGACTTAAAAAAGTCATAAAGATATCGACGGCTTTAGTCTTGATAGGTTCACATCCAAATCTGTTTTTCTTGAAGGAGCAAGGTCGAAGTTTGGGCCATCTTCCCAACCAACCTATCACCTGCAAGGGTAATCCTGTAGAGATTGATCCATATACTTATGAGTCCTCCAAAGAACCGAATCTTTTTGCCCTTGGTCCACTTGTTGGTGACAACTTTATCAGGTTCCTTAAAGGTGGAGCACTTGCCATAACACGATGCCTGGAACTGAGACAGAAGAAGAAAAGACATCGACTTGGGGAAAGTAGAAGTGATGATGGTGTGTCATAAACCTACCATTTCACTTATGCCTACCTTGGCATCTGCTTCTCTGGAAACCTTTTCTAACAATCTTTCATGATCTGCAAAGGTGCAGATTCCATCAGTATGTGTTTTTGCACAGTGCAATGTATTTCATAACCTATGGCAAGACTAAAAAAGAAAAACCGTTTGCTGCTTTTGTAGAAGATCCCAGAAGACTACCCACACTTCTTGGACATCAAAGAATTATATGTTTCCTTGTGCAATTTGTCACGTTTATATTCTGTTTTATGCATTTTCAGGTGCCGTTGACGGTGTGCTCTTCCTTTTTTTTTTTGTTTTGTTATATATTCGTTTATTTTGGAGCTATTGAGTAAACAGTAAAATGAAGGTAGATGCATCTGTTCTATTGCATCTATTTGCTCTGTCCTGTTTTGAAACACTAATTCACTTTTAGTCAGGATTTGTAACTTTTGTTATAGGTTTGTGTTTTTCAAGTGTACAGAAAAATGAGTACAAGAGCCTAAAAATGTTACCCAGCCAAGGACGCATGTGTCCTGGATTTCAGCAAAGTTCAGTATAAATCAATCCAATTCAGTCAAATGCGCACCAACACGTTATAGTTTACATTTCTACAAGTGCTTTTTTTTGTGTTTTTTAATATTTTATCTCCTGATTATAATTTCATAAAAATGGCTATTGCACTGCTATCATTTAATGCAGTTCTTCTGTATGCAGTATATCCCTCTTAAAATAAATCTATTTATGACATATGCATGTGCTACTTCAGCATTTTTGTTATCCCTGTAGGAGTGGAGGTGACACCACTGTATTCCTTAATTGTAACAGAGAAAGTGGGGTCTCCCTCTTGACTGTGCTGTATGGCAGAGGAGTACAAATCACAAAAGTGGCCGGCCAGAATTGCAGAATGGGATTTACAGACTATGTATAAGGGTCATTCTTGCCTCCTAGTCAGCTGACCTATGGTACAGAAACGTGAATTGTTAATCTGCTTAACTGCTGGATTTTGTGTTGTGCCATAGAGTGTTAAGGTCAAATAGTGGCTTTTGACAAGACCAATTTAATTTACTGTGGCCTGGTGCTGGGTTACAATTTGGAAGCTACATGCATGGCTTACGTTTTTTTGTTGGACGTGCTGTAAATCCTATTCCCTCAGCATGCATTCACTTTAGTGTTCTTTATTTTGAATGAATTCTGTGACTGGTTTAATGCTCCGTACAGGTTCACAGAGGAATTAAAGTGCTCTTATTAAAGGTATTTTACTTGTGTGTTACAATTTAATTTGCACAAAAATGGGCTTATTTAATAAGGAATTACAATGTGCGACGTACGCTAATGATTGGCTTCAGTATACTGAAATCTGGTTGTTGTCGGTTATTGCGTTTTTTGCATTGCTTGTTATAAAAAAAAAAAAGCTTGCAGTTGGTATTGCTTTGTCTAGCTGCTCATGAAGTGTTTTTTGTGTTCTTGTTTTATAGAATTTTCTAATGCTATGGCGAATTTTGTTGTAACAAAAATGGAAAAGTGTAGCTGAAAGGAACACTGAAGTATTTGTATTGAAGTTTGTTTACAAACTAAAGGGGGATTGTCATAGAAAGTGGACCTCTTTTTAGCCCTTGTATGTCTAAAATGTGGGAATATCCACTTTATCCTACCTATACATATTTGGTCAGTTGCTAGTTTTGAAGGGAGTGCATGTTTGCAGAGTTGTGCCTACAGCTGCATTTGTAGAGCTCATAACATGGCCAAAGCAAACATGATCCTGAACGAGAAGCTAGTATTCTCCTTTTTCAATGCCGTGCCACTGATCGGTTGAAGTAAAATCTTCCTCTAAAGTCTGATGAGTAACTGACACTGGGAGTGGTGATCTGGTCCCCTGCTGTGCTCAATGGTTCTTTCTAGGGATGCACCGATACCACTTTTTTACGACCGAGTTCGAGTACCGATACTTTTGATCAAGTACTTGCCGATACCAATTACCGATATTTTTCTTAAAGGGACAGGTCACATTTTTTCTAAAGCAATACAAACTAATGATTTAAGGTCAGTTTCTTAATATTATGATTCATGAGATGACAAGGGAGCATGACGCCGGCTTCCCGGCAAATCAGAATGCCGGCGTTGCGTCATTACACCCCGCGCCCGGCTTCCGGATTTGCTAGCTTCCTGACCAATCGGGAAGCCAGGCAGAGCGTCATTACACGCTACCCGGCTTACTGATTGGCCCGGAAACGGCTCCATGCTCTCTCATCACAAGTGACGAGAGAGCATGGAGCCGTTTCCGGGCCAATCAGTAAGCCGGGTAGCGTGTAATGATGCGCAGCCTGGCTTCCTGATACAGGAAGTACTTGTGCTAGGTATCGGAGCATTTGGGCGAGTACGAGTACCCACCCAAATACTTGGTATCGATACCGATACTAGTATCGGTATCGGTGCAACCCTAGTTCTTTCCACTGACCTCCACACCACTGCTGGACACAGCAGAAGCCGGAGGAACCACTGAGCTCAGTGGGGGATCAGGAAATCAACACTCCCATATAAGTCTGCTTCAGAGGAAGATTTCTCTTCAAAAGTGATCTTCAGTGGTGGTTAAAGAGGTGAGTATTCACTCTCCAATAGCATTTTGGCTCAATTTAGTTTCTGGACAAGGTCGCTTTAATTGTGGCATTTTGTGATGCAGAAATGAGTGCACTATTTTGCTCTTTGCTGTGGTTTTACTGGAAATTCTAATGACAAGCATGTGAAGAAACAGTTCTTGCTCATCGCCCCAAATCAGCTTCTTCTTTTGTATATTGCAATGCAGTATGGAATGATCTGCTTGCTGTGTCTAATTCTTTTAACAGGCTGGTCCAACCATGTCTGATATCTTCACGTTGCTCTATAGCTACTCATTTACAGGGGACATACATTGTGTTTGAGTAAATCGTTTGATGTCTTCTGGTATCAAGGGGCTTTGTTGTGGTGGTTGGACGATTTATGTAGGGGTCTATTTTATAAACCATTTGCCCTACAAATCTCTGAACGTTGGTTCTTTTCAATTAGATGTAAAAACAAACAATCTTAGTATATTTTCTTTTCAGGTCTAATGTAATACTGCATTATGGTCACTAGATGGAGCTGAGGAGCATAGGAAATAAGTATTCATTTTCTATGCTCCTTAGTGCCATCTAGTGACCATAATGCAGTATTAAATTACAGTCGACCTGAAAAGAAGATATATGAAGAACATGCATTTTTGCCTCTATTGGCACAGAAGCAACGTTCAGAGATTTGCAGGGAAAATGGTTCTGCATATTGTTTATAAATAGACACCTTGGTAGATACTATTGCCTATCTAAAATGTGTACCATGCGTCTGGTGCACTAGATTGTTGGTATGTTTGTAAATCGTTGAGTGTCCTAGTCAGAAAAAAACGTTGCATGTGGAGCGCATTTATGTACATGGTCTTTTTCCCACTCATTTGCTGTGAAGGAAGAGCATATTTTATGATAATGCTTAGGCTTAAAGAGAACCTGCAATGTTTCTGAGGGGCAATGCTTCTTTTTCATGGCCAAATACAAATGTGGCAGAATTGTGATTCTACTATTTGCTAAAAGTCAATCTTCATCGTTTGGAAATTAGTATGCAGCAGAGTTGGGGTTGTGGCAGCTTTCATCAGAACCTTCTCCCAGATGTTTTTTGCTTTGACCTATTGCCTTTAAAGAGACTTGGCCACCAACACTGCTGGCCAATGGTGACCGAACCTAGGTAGATCAGGTGGATTCTTACCGCCCATCTAGTACATAAAAGAATGAAGATGCTCAGTTATGCTCCCCCACCCCCCACTTTTTTACAGAACATTGTATCACAATATATTTACATTTAGTTTTTTCTTTGTATGAAAAGCCTGTTTCTGCTGATCAACTTCAAAGCGAAAACCAATCTCTTCAGAGTTAAAACAGATTTCTACAAAGTGAATTGAATTGAATTACACTCAATGAAACTGCGTATTGTATCAGTATACATCCTCTCCATGATAGTATTTCAGAAATGTAATCAAAGGCTTGAGTCTGTGTGAATTGGTCTCCAGCAGACTTGCATATCTGCATGCTCGGTCCCCCCCCCCCCTAAACTCTTTGCAAACCTGTTCACCCTTT